TTAATGGGTACGCTGGGAAGCAAGTACAGGGAGTGGATTTAATCATACATAAGACATGGAACAAAACAGGAAACACGAGTAGCGTACAGACATACACCACAGGAACAGAATCCATAACGCCTGGGGAAGGAACCAAAGGGAGTGACTGATATAGGGGAGGTCATCAGGAAGGTGACGGAGTCCAGGTGAGTCTCATGAGGCGCAGGTGCGCGTAACGATGGTGACAAGTGTGCATCAATTTCTGCATTTCCTGAACTCATTTGAGATGATTTCCACACTGTCACAAAGGGCTGCACGACACGGGCAAACAATCCAGGACTTATTTTTAACCAAATGTTGCAATTTGCACGGGCCCCGTGTGGCTCAGTTGGTAGAACATGGCGCTTGCAACGCCAGGGTTGTGGGTTCGATTCCCACGGGGGGCCAGTATGAAAATGTATGCACTCACTAACTGTAAATTGCTCTGGATAAGAGCGTCTGCTAAATTACTAAAATGTAAATTTAGAGCAAAACACTTGGGTGAACTGTTGGAATCATGGAAATAGAATGATTATTCTAATTCTGTAGTTAGAATATAATAGTGGACCTTTGAATACAGTGTTGTTTGACATGGCAACGAATTAAAATGCCAGGGAGGAGTTATGGTAACAGGGTAGGAACCAAAGTGTTGATGAGTGTTTCCTAGGGGACGCTATAATCTTTGAATACAGGCAACGAATGAAAATGCCAGAGAGGAGTTATTCTTTTTTTATTGGACACAGGGGAGGGTAGTGTGTTATTTTTTTATTGGACACGGGGGAGGGTAGTGTGTTTTTTTTCCTGGTTTCCATTCGCTCTTTTACAGGTTTTACTATATAATTTATTCCATCCTAGCCACATTTCCTCATTTGCCCCTCCCCTATGTCAATCTGTTTTAGTACCTTCCCATATGCACTAGGCTTTTCCACACGCTAGCTTCTACCATACCATAGGTCAGTATAGTCTACCAGTCTAACTGTCTGTCCTGCCCTCTATCCACCATTCATAGTGACAATAGTGGTAGGTGGATCGTTTGTCCAGATCGGCCTTTAGGCTAACTAGCAATCATACCACACATAAAAACATTTAAAAAGCTGCATACATTTTCGATATGAATCCACAAGAACAAATAAGAATAGCTGATAGGAAGCAGAGAGGACAGGTGCATGAAAGAACACTGAAGACATGAGACACTCGGCTCAAAAAAACTCCCCTATTGATCTGGTTTAGGGACAATACAGTTATCCTACCTACTGCACACTATCCTACAACATCACAACGCAATGCATAATTGCATTATTGTTTTTCAACTGAGTACAAAATTCTAACCTAGGCTGCAGTGAAAATGTCATTTGAATAACGGCGCAAAAGCCCTGTGATTTGTATGTTTCATTCCATTTGGATCATTTGTGGGTCTACTCTGGACAGTTTATAAGGTATAGGAGGGTCAGTAGTGGGTCTACTCTGGACCGTTTATAAGGTCTAGGAGGGTCAGTAGTGGGTCTACTCTGGACAGTTTATAAGGTCTAGGAGGGTCAGTAGTGGGTCTACTCTGGGTCAGTTTATAAGGTCTAGGAGGGTCAGTAGTGGGTCTACTCTGGACAGTTTATAAGGTATAGGAGGGTCAGTAGTGGGTCTACTCTGGACAGTTTATAAGGTCTAGGAGGGTCAGTAACAGGCCAATCTGGTTGTATTTTTACTTCTGATACTCTAAGTCGTCCTTTAATAATGTGGCCACAAATACTCCCAGCAGGCCCAGTTATTCAGGAAAACTTAAAACACGCTCTGCCTCCTATCCAATCCAAGCGGCTATTCCTCACTCACCAAGAACCTAACGTCTACTCTGGACAGTTTATAAGGTCTAGGAGGGTCAGTAGTGGGTCTACTCTGGACAGTTTATAAGGTCTAGGAGGGTCAGTAGTGGGTCTACTCTGGACCGTTTATAAGGTCTAGGAGGGTCAGTAGTGGGTCTACTCTGGACAGTTTATAAGGTCTAGGAGGGTCAGTAGTGGGTCTACTCTGGACAGTTTATAAGGTCTAGGAGGGTCAGTAGTGGGTCTACTCTGGACCGTTTATAAGGTCTAGGAGGGTCAGTAGTGGGTCTACTCTGGACAGTTTATAAGGTCTAGGAGGGTCAGTAGTGGGTCTACTCTGGGTCAGTTTATAAGGTCTAGGAGGGTCAGTAGTGGGTCTACTCTGGACAGTTTATAAGGTATAGGAGGGTCAGTAGTGGGTCTACTCTGGACAGTTTATAAGGTATAGGAGGGTCAGTAGTGGGTCAACTCTGGACAGTAGCAGGCCAGTCTGGCTGTATTTTTACTTCTGATACCAAATCAAATCAAATCAAATTTTATTGGTCACATGCGCCGAATACAACAGGTGCAGACATTACAGTGAAATGCTTACTTACAGCCCTTAACCAACAGTGCATTTATTTTAAACAAAAAAGTAAGAATAAAACAACAACAAAAAAGTGTTGAGAAAAAAAGAGCAGAAGTAAAATAAAGTGACAGTAGGGAGGCTATATATACAGTAAAATAAAGTGACAGTAGGGAGGCTATATATACAGGGGGGTACCGTTGCATAGTCAATGTGCGGGGGCACCGGCTAGTTGAGGTAGTTGAGGTAATATGTACATGTGGGTAGAGTTAAAGTGACTATGCATAAATACTTAACAGAGTAGCAGCAGCGTAAAAAGGATGGGGTGGGGGGGCAGTGCAAATAGTCCGGGTAGCCATGATTAGCTGTTCAGGAGTCTTATGGCTTGGGGGTAGAAGCTGTTGAGAAGTCTTTTGGACCTAGACTTGGCACTCCGGTACAGCTTGCCGTGCGGTAGCAGGGAGAACAGTCTATGACTAGGGTGGCTGGAGTCTTTGACAATTTTGAGGGCCTTCCTCTGACACCGCCTGGTATAGAGGTCCTGGATGGCAGGGAGCTTTGCCCCAGTGATGTACTGCCCCATGTGAATGCGCTGTCTGTTTCAGTCGTAATAATCCACAATGGCCACAAATGCTCCCAGCAGGCCCAGTTATTCATATTTATACTGTATACCGTCGCTGTTGAGTGGAACAAACTCCCACGACAACTCAAAGCCATACCAATCATAACCACTTATAAAAACAAATGTCAAAAGCTGGCTACTGTGTGAACAGTAGAACCTTGTATTGTCTATCTCTGTAATGTGTCTGTATCTCTGTAATGTGTCTGTATCTCTGTAATGTGTCTGTATCTCTGTAATGTGTCTGTATCTCTGTAATTTGTCTGTATCTCTGTAATGTGTCTGTATCTCTGTAATGTGTCTGTATCTCTGTAATGTGTCTGTATCTCTGTAATGTGTCTGTATCTCTGTAATGTGTCTGTATCTCTGTAATGTGTCTGTATCTCTGTAATGTGTCTGTATCTCTGTAATGTGTCTGTATCTCTGTAATGTGTCTGTATCTCTGTAATGTGTCTGTATCTCTGTAATGTGTCTGTATCTCTGTAATGTGTCTGTATCTCTGTAATGTGTCTGTATCTCTGTAATGTGTCTGTATCTCTGTAATGTGTCTGTATCTCTGTAATGTGTCTGTAATGTGTCTGTATCTCTGTAATGTGTCTGTATCTCTGTAATGTGTCTGTATCTCTGTAAGTTCTGTATCTCTGAATGTCTGTATCTCTGTAATGTGTCTGTATCTCTGTAAGTGCTGTTCTAAGTGTCTGCAATCTGTAAGTGTCTGTATCTATGGTCTGTATCTTAAGTGTCTGTATCCTGTAATGTGTCTGTATCTCTGTAATGGTCTGTATTCGTATTCTTATCCTGTAATGTGTCTGATCTCTGAATGTGCTGATCGTCTGTAAAGTGCTGTATCTCACAGTAATGCAGTGCTACAGTAACACTCCACTAGCTGACCCAGACAGTTGATGTTGCCCTTTATACAGCGTTTTGAATGAACTCTCCAAGTCCTTGTCTTCTACAGACTTGAAGATCTATATGAACGGGACTGACTGCTGAGCTGAACATATCTATATGGACTGACTGCTGAGCTGAACAGATCTATATGGACTGACTGCTGAGCTGAACAGATCTATATGGACTGACTGCTGAGCTGAACAGATCTATATGGACTGACTGCTGAGCTGAACAGATCTATATGGACTGACTGCTGAGCTGAACAGATCTATATGGACTGACTGCTGAGCTGAACAGATCTATATGGACTGACTGCTGAGCTGAACATATCTATATGGACTGACTGCTGAGCTGAACAGATCTATATGGACTGACTGCTGAGCTGAACAGATCTATATGGACTGACTGCTGAGCTGAACAGATCTATATGGACTGACTGCTGAGCTGAACAGATCTATATGGACTGACTGCTGAGCTGAACAGATCTATATGGACTGACTGCTGAGCTGAACAGATCTATATGGACTGACTGCTGAGCTGAACAGATCTATATGGACTGACTGCTGAGCTGAACAGATCTATATGGACTGACTGCTGAGCTGAACAGATCTATATGGACTGACTGCTGAGCTGAACAGATCTATATGGACTGACTGCTGAGCTGAACAGATCTATATGGACTGACTGCTGAGCTGAACAGATCTATATGGACTGACTGCTGAGCTGAACAGATCTATATGGACTGACTGCTGAGCTGAACAGATCTATATGGACTGACTGCTGAGCTGAACAGATCTATATGGACTGACTGCTGAGCTGAACAGATCTATATGGACTGACTGCTGAGCTGAACATATCTATATGGACTGACTGCTGAGCTGAACAGATCTATATGGACTGACTGCAGAACAGATCCCACAGGGTTATTCTGGTCCTTCACTTTCTCAGCCAGCTCACTGTAAACAATAAACTGAGCCAAACAGTATTTTTATTTACTTTAAAACTTTACTATGTTGGCTAATTTGTTTGAGGGCGTCCGTACCAAAATGTTCATTGGAGTGTGCTGAGACTGCTAAGCTGAACAGTGGTGTCGTTAAATGGTACAGTCCAGAGCCCAGCGGGGGAAGTAAATGGTACAGTCCAGAGCCCAGCGGGGGAAGTAAATGGTACAGTCCAGAGCCCAGCGGGGGAAGTAAATGGTACAGTCCAGAGCCCAGCGGGGGAAGTAAATGGTACAGTCCAGAGCCCAGCGGGGGAAGTGGCTGTTAAATGGTACAGTCCAGAGCCCAGCGGGGGAAGTAAATGGTATAGTCCAGAGCCCAGCGGGGGAAGTAAATGCTACAGTCCAGAGCCCAGCGGGGGAAGTAAATGGTACAGTCCAGAGCCCAGCGGGGGAAGTAAATGGTACAGTCCAGAGCCCAGCGGGGGAAGTAAATGGTATAGTCCAGAGCCCAGCGGGGGAAGTAAATGGTATAGTCCAGAGCCCAGCGGGGGAAGTAAATGCTACAGTCCAGAGCCCAGCGGGGGAAGTAAATGGTACAGTCCAGAGCCCAGCGGGGGAAGTAAATGGTACAGTCCAGAGCCCAGCGGGGGAAGTAAATGGTACAGTCCAGAGCCCAGCGGGGGAAAGTAAATGGTATAGTCCAGAGCCCAGCGGGGGAAGTAAATGCTACAGTCCAGAGCCCAGCGGGGGGAAGTAAATGGTACAGTCCAGAGCCCAGCGGGGGAAGTAAATGGTACAGTCCAGAGCCCAGCGGGGGAAGTAAATGGTACAGTCCAGAGCCCAGCGGGGGAAGTAAATGGTACAGTCCAGAGCCCAGCGGGGGAAGTAAATGGTACAGTCCAGATTCCAGCGGGGGAAGTAAATGGTACAGTCCAGAGCCCAGCGGGGGAAGTAAATGGTATAGTCCAGAGCCCAGCGGGGGAAGTAAATGGTATAGTCCAGAGCCCAGCGGGGGAAGTAAATGCTACAGTCCAGAGCCCAGCGGGGGAAGTAAATGGTACAGTCCGGAGCCCAGCGGGGGAAGTAAATGGTACAGTCCAGAGCCCAGCGGGGGAAGTAAATGGTACAGTCCAGAGCCCAGCGGGGGAAGTAAATGGTACAGTCCAGAGCCCAGCGGGGGAAGTAAATGGTACAGTCCAGAGCCCAGCGGGGGAATAAATGGTACAGTCCAGAGCCCAGCGGGGGAAGTGGCTGTTAAATGGTACAGTCCAGAGCCCAGCGGGGGAAGTAAATGGTATAGTCCAGAGCCCAGCGGGGGAAGTAAATTCTACAGTCCAGAGCCCAGCGGGGGAAGTAAATGGTACAGTCCCAGAGCCCAGCGGGGGAAGTAAATGGTACAGTCCAGAGCCCAGCGGGGGAAGTGTGCTGTTAAATGGTACAGTCCAGAGCCCAGCGGGGGAAGTAAAATGGTATGTCCAGAGCCCAGCGGGGGAAGTAAATGCTACAGTCCAGAGCCCAGCGGGGGAAGTAAATGGTACAGTCCAGAGCCCAGCGGGGGAAGTAAATGGTACAGTCCAGAGCCTAGCGGGGGAAGTAAATGGTACAGTCCAGAGCCCAGCGGGGGGAAGTAAATGGTACAGTCCAGAGCCCAGCGGGGGGAAGTAAATGGTACAGTCCAGAGCCCAGCGGGGGAAGTAATGGTACAGTCCAGAGCCCAGCGGGGGAAGTAAATGGTACAGTCCAGAGCCCAGCGGGGGAAGTAAATGGTACACTCCAGAGCCCAGCGGGGGAAGTAAATGGTACAGTCCAGAGCCCAGCGGGGGGAAGTAAATGGTTACAGTACCAGAGCCCAGCGGGGGAAGTAAAATGGTACAGTCCCAGAGCCCAGCGACGGGGGAAGTGAAAGTGGTACAGTCCAGAAGCCCAGCGGGGGAAGGAAGTAAATGGTTACCAGTCCAGAGGCCCCAAGCGGGCGGAAGTGGCTGTTAAAATGGGTACAGGTCCAGAGCCCAGGCGGGGGAAGTAAGTAAATGGTATCGTCCGAGCCACAGCGGGGGAAGTAAATGCTACAGTCCCAGAGCCCAGCGGGGGGAAGTAAAGTAATGGTACAGTCCAGAGCCACAGCGGGGGAAGGTAAAATGGTGTACAGTCCAGAGCCCAGCGGGGGAAGTTAAATGGTACCAGTTCCAGAGCCCAGCGGGGGAAGTAAATGGTACAGTCCAGAGCCCAGCGGGGGAAGTCAATGGTACAGTCCAGAGCCCAGCGGGGGAAGTGGCTGTTAAATGGTACAGTCCAGAGCCCAGCGGGGGAAGTAAATGGTACAGTCCAGAGCCCAGCGGGGGAAGGGTTAAATGGTACAGTCCAAGCCCAGCGGGGGAAGTAAATTGGTAAGTCCAGAGCCCAGCGGGGGAGTAATGGTACCTCCAGAGCCCAGCGGGGAAGTAAAATGGTATTAGTCCAGAGCCCAGCGGGGGAGGAAGTAAATGGTACAGTCCAGAGCCCCAGCGGGGAAGTAAATGGTACAGTCCATAGCCCAGCGGGGGAAGTAAATGGTACAGTCCAGAGCCAGCGGGGGAAGTAAATGCTACAGTCCAGAGCCAGCGGGGGAAGTAACTGGTACAGTCCAGAGCCCAGCGGGGAAGTGGCTGTTAAATGGTACAGTCCAGAGCCCATCGGGGGAAGTAAATGGTATAGTCCCAGAGCCCAGCGGGGGAAGTAAATGGTACAGTCCAGAGCCCAGCGGGGGAAGTAAATGGTACAGTCCAGAGCCCAGCGGGTGAAGTAAAGTGTACAGTCCAGAGCCCAGCGGGGGAAGTAAATGGTACAGTCCAGAGCCCAGCGGGGGAAGTAAATGGTACAGTCCAGAGCCCAGCGGGGGAAGTAAATGGTACAGTCCAGAGCCCAGCGGGGGAAGTGGCTGTTAAATGGTACAGTCCAGAGCCCAGCGGGGGAAGTAAATGGTATAGTCCAAAGCCCAGCGGGGGAAGTAAATGCTACAGTCCAGAGCCCAGCGGGGAAGTAAATGGTACAGTCCAGAGCCCAGCGGGGGAAGTAAATGGTACAGTCCAGAGCCCAGCGGGGGAAGTAAATGGTACAGTCCAGAGCCCAGCGGGGGAAGTAAATGGTACAGTCCAGAGCCCAGCGGGGGAAGTGGTGTTAAATGGTACAGTCCAGAGCCCAGCGGGGGAAGTAAAGGGTATAGTCCAGAGCCCAGCGGGGGAAGTAAATGGTACAGTCCAGAGCCCAGCGGGGGAAGTAAATGGTACAGTCCAGAGCCCAGCGGGGGAAGTGGCGTTAAATGGTACAGTCCAGAGCCCAGCGGGGAAGTAAATGGTATAGTCCAGAGCCCATCGGGGGAAGTAAATGGTACAGTCCAGAGCCCAGCGGGGGAAGTAAATGGTACAGTCCAGAGCCCAGCGGGGGAAGTAAATGGTACAGTCCAGAGCCCAGCGGGGGAAGTAAATGGTACAGTCCAGAGCCCAGCGGGGGAAGTAAATGGTACAGTCCAGAGCCCCAGCGGGGGAAGTGGCTGTTAAATGGTACAGTCAGAGCCCAGCGGGGGAAGTAAATGGTATAGTCCAGAGCCCAGCGGGGGAAGTAAATGCTACAGTCCAGAGCCCAGCGGGGGAAGTAAATGGTACAGTCCAGAGCCCAGCGGGGGAAGTAAATGGTACAGTCCAGATTCCAGCGGGGGAAGTAAATGGTATAGTCCAGAGCCCAGCGGGGGAAGTAAATGCTACAGTCCAGAGCCCAGCGGGGGAAGTAAATGGTACAGTCCAGAGCCCAGCGGGGGAAGTAAATGGTACAGTCCAGAGCCCAGCGGGGGAAGTAAATGGTACAGTCCAGAGCCCAGCGGGGGAAGTAAATGGTACAGTCCAGAGCCCAGCGGGGGAAGTGGCTGTTAAATGGTACAGTCCAGAGCCCAGCGGGGGAAGTGGCTGTTTTCTAAAGGCCATAGAGTGGGAAGAATTAAAGGGATAATCCACCCCCAGAAATAAAAATCATGAATCTCCTGTCAATTTGGTGAAAGCCTATATTCTATCAGTGGCTAAAATACGGTTTTTCCCCATGATTCAACTTACAGCCTCAAGTCTTCTTGGGTATGACGCTACAAGTTTGGCACACCTGTATTTGGGGAGTTTCTCCCATTCCTCTCTGCAGATCCCCTCAAGCTCTGTCAGGTTGGATGGGGAGCGTCGCTGCACAGCTATTTTCAGGTCTCTCCAGAGATGTTCGATCGGGTTCAAGTCCGGGCTCTGGCTGGGCCACTCAAGGACATTCAGAGACTTGTCCCGAAGCCACTCGTGCGTTGTCTTGGCTGTGTGCTTAGGTTTGTTGTCCTGTTGCAAGGTGAACCTTCGCCCCACTCTCAGGTCCTGAGCACTCTGGAGCAGGTTTTCATCAAGGATCTCTCTGTACTTTGCTCCGTTCATCTTTCCCTCAACCCTGACTAGTCTCCCAGTCCGTGCTGGTTTGGAGTGGATTATCTCTTTAAGCAATAATACACAAGGCCATGTCAGACCACCACAGCCATGATAAAAATGTCATAACACATGGACTTTCATACAACAGGTTACCAGCATTAAAAAGCAAGTCTAAAAGAAAGGGGAGATAATCAATCAATTTAGGCCATTTTACATCAGCAGATGTCACAAAGTGCTATACAGAAACCCAGCCTAAAACCCCAAACAGCAAGCAATGCAGATGTAGAAGCACGGTGGCTAGGAAAAACTCCCTAGAAAGGCAGGAACCTAGGAAGAAACCTAGAGAGGAACCAGGCTCTGAGGGGTGGCCAGTCCCCTTCTGGCTGTGCCGGGTGGAGATTATAAGAGTACATGGCCATTAAGGCCAGATCGTTCTTCAAGATGTTCAAACTTTCATAGATGACCAGCAGGGTCAAATAATAATCACAGTGGTTATAGAGGGTGCAGCAGGTGGACTGGGGACGGGGACATCCAGGAGTTGTCTGGCCAGGTAGTCCTGAGGCAAGGTCCTAGGACTCAGGTCCTCCAGGGAGGGAGGGAGAGAGGGAGAGAGGGAGAGAGAGCACAATGAAACGGGGGTTTTGCGGGGGTTTTGTGTGTCTGTGTGTGTATATGTGTGTGTCTGTGTCTGTGTGTGTGTGTGTGAGAGAGAGAGAGAGTCATACTGCCTCTCATACTGCCCCTGATACTGTATCTTACTGCCCCTCATACTGCCTCTGATACTGCCTCTCTTACTGCCCCCCTTACTGCTTCTTACTGCCTCTCTTGCTGCCTCTCATACTGCCTTTCTTACTGCCTCTCTTACTGCCCATCTTACTGCCTCTCTTACTGCCTCTCTTACTGCCTCTCATACTGCCCCCATTTACTGCCCCTCTTACTGCCTCTCTTACTGCCTCTCATACTGCCCCTCATACTGCCCCTCTTACTGCCTCTGATACTGCATCTCTTACTGCCTCTGATACTGCCCCTCTTACTGCCCCTCTTACTGCCTCTGATACTGCCTTTCTTACTGCCTCTGATACTGCTCCTCTTACTGTCTCTCATACTGCCATTCAAACTGCCCCTCTTACTGCCTTTCATACTGCCCCTCGTACTGTCCCTCATACTGCCTCTCATACTGCCTCTCATACTGCCTCTCTTACTGCCCCTCTTACTGCCCCTCTTACTGCCTCTCTTACTGCCTTTCATACTGCCCCTCTTACTGCCTCTCATACTGCCCCTCTTACTGCCTCTCATACTGCCCCTCTTACTGCCTCTGATACTGTCTCTCTTACTGTCTCTCATTATGCCCCTCTTACTGCCTCTGATACTGTCTCTCTTACTGTCTCTCATACTGCCCCTCTTACTGCCTCTCTTACTGCCCCTCTTACTGCCTCTGATACTGCCCCTCATACTGCCTCTCATACTGCCCTCTTACTGCCTCTGATACTGCCTCTCTTACTGCCTCTCTTACTGCCTCTCATACTGCCCTCTTACTGCCTCCCATACTGCATTTCTTACTGCCTCTCTTGCTGCCTCTCTTGCTGCCTTTCTTACTGCCTCTCTTACTGCCTCTCATACTGCCCCTGTTACTGCCTCTGATACTGCCTCTCTTACTGCCTCTGATACTGCCCCTCTTACTGCCTCTGATACTGCCCCTCTTACTGCCTCTCATACTGCCCCTCTTACTGCCTCTCATACTGCCCCTCTTACTGCCTCTGATACTGCCGCTCATACTGCCCCTCTTACTGCCTCTGATACTGCCTCTCATACTGCCCTCTTACTGCCTCTCATACTGCCCCTCTTACTGCCTCTGATACTGCCTCTCTTACTGCCTCTGATACTGCCTTTCTTACTGCCTCTGATACTGCTCCTCTTACTGTCTCTCATACTGCCATTCAAACTGCCCCTCTTACTGCCTTTCATACTGCCCCTCGTACTGTCCCTCATACTGCCTCTCATACTGCCTCTCATACTGCCTCTCTTACTGCCCCTCTTACTGCCCCTCTTACTGCCTCTCTTACTGCCTTTCATACTGCCCCTCTTACTGCCTCTCATACTGCCCCTCTTACTGCCTCTCATACTGCCCCTCTTACTGCCTCTGATACTGTCTCTCTTACTGTCTCTCATTATGCCCCTCTTACTGCCTCTGATACTGTCTCTCTTACTGTCTCTCATACTGCCCCTCTTACTGCCTCTCTTACTGCCCCTCTTACTGCCTCTGATACTGCCCCTCATACTGCCTCTCATACTGCCCTCTTACTGCCTCTGATACTGCCTCTCTTACTGCCTCTCTTACTGCCTCTCATACTGCCCTCTTACTGCCTCCCATACTGCATTTCTTACTGCCTCTCTTGCTGCCTCTCTTGCTGCCTTTCTTACTGCCTCTCTTACTGCCTCTCATACTGCCCCTGTTACTGCCTCTGATACTGCCTCTCTTACTGCCTCTGATACTGCCCCTCTTACTGCCTCTGATACTGCCCCTCTTACTGCCTCTCATACTGCCCCTCTTACTGCCTCTCATACTGCCCCTCTTACTGCCTCTGATACTGCCGCTCATACTGCCTCTGATACTGCCTCTCATACTGCCCTCTTACTGCCTCTGATACTGCCTCTCATACTGCCCTCTTACTGCCTCTCTTACTGCCTCTCATACTGCCCCTCTTACTGCCTCTCATACTGCCTCTCATACTGCCCCTCTTACTGCCTCTGATACTGCCTCTCATACTGCCCTCTTACTGCCTCTCATACTGCCCCTCTTACTGCCTCTGATACTGCCTCTCATACTGCCCCTCTTACTGCCTCTGATACTGCCTCTCATACTGCCCTCTTACTGCCTCTCATACTGCCCCTCTTACTGCCTCTCATACTGCCTCTCTTACTGCCCCTCTTACTGCCTCTCATACTGCCTCTCTTACTGCCTCTCATACTGCCCCTCTTACTGCCTCTGATACTGCCTCTCTTACTGCCCCTCTTACTGTCTCTCATACTGCCTCTCATACTGCCTCTCATACTGCCTCAGATTTTACTCACTTTTAAACTCTGCATTGTTGGTTAAGGGCTTGCAAGTAAACACTTCACGGTGCTGTTGTATTCCGCGCGTGTGACAAATAAAATGTGATTTGATTTGACATTTTCCATTCTACAAGTGAACAATACAACTTCACTCAATAGATTTAAAAAAAGGTTCAAAGCACTTCCTGGTAAGATGAAGGTACAGTAAAATGAAATAAATGAACAGTCATTCTCCCTCTTCCTCCTTCTCAGGGCTGGCTTTGGCCTGGCGAAGCCACTCAAGATGAACATGGTGAAGAGGATCATGGGTAGGCCGCGGCAGGAAGAGTGTAGCCCGCAGGACAACGCGCTGGGCCTCATGCACCTCCGACGCCTCTTCTCCGAGCTCTGCCACCCGCCACGTCACATGACCCAGAAGGAGCAGGAGGACAAGCTCTACATGATGCTGCCTGTCTTCAACAGGGTGAGAGACAAACGTGCCAGGATTCATCTCCTTCAGTAGAGGGAGGGGAAGGGGAATATCAAGGACATCTGTTTTGACCAGAGGGTAGGCCTACTCAGTGGTGTGAAATGGTTAACAAAAGTGCACATCGGGTGTCCGTCATCTTAGCACGTTAGGTGGACCTGTGTGTGTGAGTTAATGAGTATCGGATAGAGGGATAGAGTTAAGGATAGAGGGCTCCCGAGTGGCGCAGTGGTCTAAGGCACTGCATCTCAGTGCTTGAGGCGTCACTACAGACCCCCTGGTTCGATTCCAGGCTGTATCACAACCGGCCGTGATTGGGAGTTTCATAGGGCGGCGCACAATTGGCCCAGCGTCGTCTGGGTTTGGCCGTCATTGTAAATAAGAATTTGTTCTTAACTGACCTGCCTAGTTAAATAAAGGTAAAATAAAAAATAAAATAAATCCTTTGACCTCTTTGTGCATGGCAGGTGTTTGGGAACGCTTCCTCCAGCACCATGACGGAGAAGTTCCAGGACCTCCTCCAGTTCACTACCCAGGTGTCCCGGCTCATGGTCACTGAGATCAGACGGAGGGCCTCCAACAAGTCCACAGGTACGTTTACAAAACGTTTACAAAACCCGTCAAACGTTCTCGGAACTTTACCATCCGGTGCAGCAGGCAACCATTCCCTGCCGGTGCAGCAGGCAACCATTCCCTGCCGGTGCAGCAGGCAACCATTCCCTGCCGGTGCAGCTGTAAACTCCATGCATCTTGGGGCGGCAGGTAGCTTAGTGGTTAAGAGCGTTGTGCCAGTAACCAAAAGGTCTCTGGTTCTAATCCCCGAGCCGACTAGGTGAAAAATCTGTCGATGTGCCCTTGAGCAAGGCACTTAACCCTAATTGCTCCTGTAAGTCGCTCTGGATAAGAGCGTCTGCTAAATGACAAAAAATGTAAATGTTAAAATGTTGAGTAAGATGCACTACTCGCGTACATGCGTCTCTACTCCTCACAACACTATATTA